CCCCAAAACCCCAAAACCCCAAAACCCCAAATCTCTAGACATTCTTGAATATTGAACCTGATTTGGCACTATTTGAAAGTCATTGGTTTGATTGATCTCACAGTCGCTTTGTACCCACATTTTTCTAAAAGGGTCTTCACAGAGATTTTTGAGAGGCCTAGAGAGTGAGAGAACGAACATACCAGGCTTATGCCCAACTATTCCTTCATTGTAGTAGAATGTAACCAGGTTTTCAAGGATGGATGGGTTTGATGATAAGGACTTTATCACGCTGCCCAAGCTTTGCTTAGATCCCTCCACAAATTGTAGTTCTAATAACTTGATGGTAAAACTAAAGAATCAGGTATGCTTAAATACATTGATGTTGGATCTACTTTAATCTTCTCATTTCAGCTATACAAGATCAGCCTTCCAAATACCTGTTATGGAAAGATCATCTACACAAGTTTATTTCTTGAAGATGTGCAAAAGCGTGAAAAAGTCGTGATAATGGCTTGTTCTCCAGCTATATTTGTAATCTTAACATACTTCAACTCCATCAAAAAGCACTAATTCTTGAATTTTGTGAGCATTCCTGATTAAGCAATGCATATTTGCCTTAGATAATTTTTTGTCAGTAAATTTGAGATACAACTTTTTGATACGAATAGTTTGATCAAGGAAACAATAAATAGACTCTTTAAACTTCTTATTGTCAATGAAGAAGAAACACACTTCATTGAACTTTGCTCCCTCTATAGATAATCTCTCACTTCTTACCTAAAAGACAGAATGTCTTCATAATCGAAGAGGAATCAGGAATCCTAAGATCCAAGCTAACGTTCCATTGATTCTCAACTATTGAGACTGACCTCCAGTTTGAATTCTCCAAGAAATAATAGAGTGAGATGTCTATTACTGTCATAAGGTGTTACTTACTCCAAATTTCCCTCTTGACCATACGTTCTCCATCCTGTGCCAACATGATGTGTGTCTCTAACAAAATTAGCTACGATAAAGAGGTGCACCAGATTGCCAGATTCCCACAAAACCTTCCTTATAAACGGCTTACTTTCTTGTTTTGGGCTAAAGAGGCTAGACGACATCTTATCCATCCACTTTTATCTCACAAATTGTTATAAAATATCTCAGAGGGGTTTTGGGGTTTTGGGGTTTTGGGG